CCGCCCCAGTCAGTGGTGTCCCGCTTTACCAATGCTTTACCAATGTTAAAATCCGCTCATCTTACTCTACAAGCCAAAGCCTCCCTCCCCCATCACAGGAAGTTGAAAGCTGCTTAAGGCTGGAGGGCAAGCACACATTCAGGTCTTTGAGACAGGAAGCCTGTAAACCTGGGTGGGACCCCCATCTAGACCAGGTGAGCTTAATTCAGCCAATGGAGTCAAACAGTATCGTTGACCACACCTCCCAATGGCGCGTCGTGGGTGGGCCTGAAAAGCCAGAAGTTTTCCTGGCTGGTTCTCTCAGCGGCTGACAGTGTGACCGGCCTGCGGTTCTGCGCGTTTGTGCTGCTTCTATCCTTTATAAACTCACTTAGATCACCAATTCGGCTTGAATTTTTTCTCGTATGAACCCAAGGACTGAGGCATTTCTCCCACGGGAGAGACCTAACATTCACAGAAAGTGAAGGAAAAAACAAATAGCAAGAAAGAAAAGAAATTCCTATTTTGCAAGATAGGATGATAAATACAAAAACATAAAAATGCTTAGCCGGCATGACACAACACTTCTCCATTTATTACCCCTGCTATAAGGGTTCAATGGAGTTAGTAGTATGGGAGCAGGGAGATTCCAGAGAAGGGGACACAATACTATTTATCAGACACTCACACACTGAGCTATTTTAAATCAGGTGCTGTGTTGTGTGACCTGAAGCACCAAGAGGTGTGACCCAAGCCTGATCCTCCAAGAAAGTCCATCTAGCAGGGGGAGGAACACACGCAAACAAGTAAGATGGCTTCAAAAAGAACAAAAGAGACAATGGTCCATTTGGGGGATCTGAGAGAAGTCAGAAACAATTTCAGAGGAAGTAATGCTTGACTTGTCTTGAAAGATGCTTTCTCTAGATCAGCGGATCTCAACCTGTGGGTCAAGACCCTTTGGGGGTCAAACGACCCTTTCACAGAGGTTGCCCGATTCATAATAGCAAAATGACAGTGATGAAGTAGCAAGGAAAATAATTTTACGGTTGGGGCATCACCACCACATGAGGAACTGTATGAAAGGGTGGCAGCATGAGGAAGGTTGAGAACCACGGCTTTAGGTCAACTAACTGGGGGAACAAAAGTTTGAATAAAAGCCGTTAAGGTATCCCTTGTTCAGGTGTTACAAATGAGAAGCAGTTACAGTGAAAAGATAATTAACAGCTACAGAATAAGCGCTAGGTACTGTTCTGAATGGCAGAGTCTATCAATTACTTTCACAACAACCAGTAAATATGAATGTTAATGTTATTACATGTCATAAAGTCAATAGTTTACTTCCATTTTACAGGTGAAAAAAGTGTTGTTGTCGGACTACAAGTGAGCCTGTCACCACAGCCAAAAAGAGACCAGGTTGATTTGACAAATTCCAAGTTTATTCCTGCAAGTACTTGCAGAAGGAAAACAGCTGGGTATCTTGCTCAAGCTGTCTCAGCATTCAGTCCTGACCCACAAGTAAATATACAAGAACATGTTTTTCTTACAAAGATTATTGGAAGAGACTATCAGTTTTTGTTGTTGTTTTGTTTTGTTTTTACTATCAGGTTTTTTACAATGTCACAGGATACAATTGATAACTCTGAGAAAGCAGGTCTTGCAGTGATCTTTAGGAAATCATCTATACCTATTATTTCTCCAGGGGCCATTAGACCACCAACCCCTGAATCTCCATGATCCCTTATCTATCTATCTAAATTAGGGGATGTTTCTGTGTCTGGCTTTACCAGACCACCACCCCTGAATGAATGCTTCCTACCTGGCTCCTTATCTTATTGGCCTCCTTCCTCATTTAAGACATACCTACGGATTAAACTTAGAAATTTTTCCTGTAAGGGAGGGGACTGTTACATTTTGGGTTTTTAACAAACCAAATCTTCTATTTCTAGTATTGATTTTCCCTTTATCAGTGTGATTAAGAATCTTGCCCTAAGGTCGCACATAAAATGAGGCCTTCTAACACAAGGCAATTTTAAAATCTGGGAATGGCAGGATCAGATTTCAGAAAAACTCCCTCCAGCTACCATGGTGGGAGGGATGGAAAACAGCAGTCAGTGGAACGCGAGCAGCTTTCTCAATGGTTGCAGCAGTGAGGGATCCTATGCACAATGGCTGCGCGGATCGGATAAGAGTATGTAGACAATTCCCAGGGCTTGGTGGACGTAGGGGAGGTCCTCAGAGAGGCAGCCAGGCCCCGTGAGTTTTAAGGCGCACAGGGAGCCGAGGTCCTAGAAGTACAGGAATGCTGACTCGCCATTAAGCTCATAAATCACTTTTGAGGCCTTTGGGGGTCGAGGGGGGCCAAGAGGTCATCCTACAGTTCGACCTCAACCGTTTGGAGCAGCAGCTGCAAAGGGGAAGGGGATTTAAGACGTCAGCGGCCTCTCCCCGGTACGACCCCAGTGAGGAAAAGCGCTGAGTCATCCCAGCGGGGCGCGCGGGGACGGGGCGGGGGGCGTGGCGCCGGGCCGATCCCCTCTTCTCTCCTCCCCCTGCACCCCCGGCCCAGCCCGGCTCTCGCGAGAGCCCGAGGCTATAAAGGCCGCGCTCCGCCGGCGCGTCGCACGCTCTCTTCCTGGCTGCAGAGTGGTGTTTGCTCCTCCTCGCGCCCCCGGTGAGTGTCTGCAACGAACCTCGTGGCGCCCCCCCCCTTGTGTGTGTGCCCGGGGCCCGCGCAGGTCTTCGGGGGGCCCGCGCCCCACAGCCTTCGCACGGCGCGCTCACCCCCGAGGTGGAGGGCAGCCCTGTGAGTCCGGGGACCTGTGGAAGCCGGGGCTCGCCGCGGTTCCCGTCGCGCCCCCCTTAGCGGAGGACGCAGTGGCCTGGGCGTGGTGCTCGGGGCGGGTGGGGGAGGGGTCTTGTTATCTAACCTCGCTTAGCGCCGGGCGGGTTCGGGAAGCTTCTAGAACTGGCCTGGAATCCGACCTGTCGCTGCTCAGGGCCACCTGTAGCCGGCCGTTGTGTCGTCAGGTGAACGTGATCCTGGTTCTGACTGCGCTTGCCGTGGAGTTTTGGCTATCTAGTCCCTCCCCCGTCTTCTTAACCCGAGCTACAGAAGAATCCCAAATGCTGGACAGGCTTCTGGCGTTTTCTGGACTGTTAGGGTGCGGTGGCGTTAGGAGAAGTTAGAAGGTGTCTGGAACGGGGCTTGGAAGCGCGAGCCTCTCCAGGGTCCGGGGGTACTTGGGGCAGATCTCCCAAGGGGTCCCTAGCGGCCCTTCCACCATTTTCGTGGAGCTGCGGTGGTGGTGCCACCTGGAGAACAGGTTTGTTTTTTTTTTTGGGGGGGGCGGCGCTATTGTTATGCGGCACACATCGTACTTGATCGTTATATTGCAGCGTAATTTACGGTGTCTTTATGGAGTAGAGCCTTAAGGGCTTTTCTTTTAAGCAGTGTGCTATTAAAACCTTCGACTCTAGGTATGCGCACATTTCCTTAGGTTGTATTTCGAGCCAAGAGCTATGGGACTTGTGGGAAAATGGAATTTCAAACCGATGAGTTAAATTTATAACTCCATATTTTGGCGTTGACTTGTGTCGGATGCAACAAATGGACTCTTGGCTCTACTTAATTGTGTTCTGGGGATTTGGCCTCAAGGCCAGAAACCCATTTTCGAAAGGAGTTTAGGGCTAGCCACTTTACCAAAAGTGGGGTGAAATTGTGAACAGATGCCAAAATCATGGTAGGGATTGGCGCTTTAGGGTGTGTACTCTCTTGGTCAAGTCCACCTAGAGAAACTGCAAGTGTGGATTAAGGCTGGTGGAGGCACGAGTCACAAAAAGGCAGCATTATGGCTTCTGGGAGTCAAGCACACCGAGGAGGTATTGTGTGTTGTGTGTGCCCTTGTCTTCTGGCTTGAGACTCCACCTCTCCCTTCAGTGTTTTTCTGTGAATGGAAGAGCAGAAGAAAATGTTATTTCACAAAAATTTGTGAGTATGCCTAAGAGAAGGTAAAAAAGATGGCTTTGACTTAGCTTAAAAATTTCCAGTATAAAGTGAGAGTAAAGGCAAATTCAGAGACTTGTAACATCTGGTTTTGTTCCTGAAGCTGAAAAACTCGGGCTCACATCCTTCGGTTGTGATCTTTGGCTGTGAGCTTGCACTACTGGTATGTATTCAGGACTACTAGACCCAATTCTTGATTCTTCTACAGCAGAGTGACTTAAGTAGACGAAAGAGGAAGGCTAGCTAACGTTTATCTAGAAAAACAAGACTTGTTCTAATCAGTCCTCCTATCTTTTGTAGCTGTTAACAAGATGTCTTCAGGAACTGCAAAAATTGGGCACCCTGCCCCCAACTTCAAAGCTACAGCAGTTATGCCTGATGGTCAGTTCAAAGATATCAGCCTGACTGACTACAAAGGTAAGAAAAATTAGTTACATTGACCTCATTAAAATGGAATTATTTTATAATCTAGGGATAGCTGGTTGAATTTCTGTTATCTTATACTTGATGTGTAAAAGTTTTCTATATCCTGCTAGTACAGTGTTTTTTAGGACATGAGTCTATTGCCTTCATGTTAAAGTGAAATGGTGTTTATAGTACTTACATATCTTTGATCCTAGAGCTCTTTTGGAGTATGCACATACTTCATTATATTGTCACATTAGTGCAATTTGATTTTCCCCATACTTCTGGATTGTTTTATTAGAGAAATTTTCATCTCTTACTGTAAGAGATGTAAATTTAAATATACAACTTAAATTTTGACACTGTCTATACTTTCTCAAGCCTTTGGGTTAGTCTACTGTTCAATGTATATTTGTGAACTGTGTATTACGGCTGCTATATCTGTTAAAGGGCCCAGGCCCATCTCCTTAACTTCTGTTGTTCCCCCAGGGATGAATTGGTATTACAAGTTGAAGCAACTCTCCTTTCTGTTGTCATGGTTTTAACATGCACATGCAGACACTTGGCAATCTCTAATAAGGCTTTCCCTTTCTTATTATCTAGGTCTCCTGGGACAATTAAAGATACAGATTTCCTTAGAATGTAAAATCAGGTGTCAGGTAGACTCTTCTTAATGATATTGTGTCAGTTCTTGGATTTGTTTCTTGGGTGGGGCTTTTTAACTAGATTTCCCAACACATCTCTCCTTGTTAGATGTGAGGAGAACAGTTACATGGTGCCCTACAAAGGGAAACTTCCTGACAAACAAGGTTCTAGCCCCTGAGGGAGTGATTGGGCCTGAGAGTATAGACACTAGACTAGGTTCTAGGTGGAGCTGCTCTGCCCTCCAGGGCTTGACCTGCTGAGGCTTCAAAGGGCTTGTTTCACAAAACCCTGGAGGGATACTCAGATGAGTCAGTTTTCAGTGACTGCTTTTCAAAGTAAATGTCAAGAAGGTCCTCTTCCTTGATTTTCAGACAATGCCACTTCCTGGTAATAAATGAGGGTTTGGAGTTGTTCCATAGCTCAGCCCATTAGGTGTGGTGAGAGACTACTTGGATTTAAAACCTACTTCAACCAGTGATTTGAGTGATGTCAATGAAATTCCCATTAAAAGTTCTATTATAACCCACCTGAACTCTTGGAACTACTTTTTCCTTGTTCTGGCAGGCTTGCTAAGAACCAGTTTGTTAAGATTCCGGTCCTTACCTGTCCCATCCTCGTGAAAGGAAGTACAAAGACTGACTTCCTCTTGTTGATATATTGCTTTTCTGGGAATTCCTTTTAAGCATTAACATAAGACTACCCACATAAAGGTGATAAGGGAATGATTGCATTTTGCTTTTCTTTATTGGAATGGCACTCGATGTTATGCTGATGTCTTCGCTACTCTTAGACGATCAAATTCAGACTTAAATATGTTATTTTATAGTTAATAGCTAATGTGGAGATAGCAGAATAAAGCATGGAGCTGGAGTGCCCCAGGTCCTCCTGCAGCAAATTCTGAAATACATGCTAGGAGACACTTATGCTGACACTTTAACAACTGTGTACAATATCCGCTCAAAGGGTTATTTTTCTCCCATAGGAAATCGCTCTTTTTTAGGTTTCCATTTTCTGTAAAGGCTAAGGGTGTCTGTTTCAAAGACTAACCTGTGGATTCCTTCTTTCCAGGAAAATACATAGTGTTCTTTTTTTACCCTCTTGACTTCACCTTCGTGTGCCCTACGGAGATCATTGCTTTCAGTGACAGGGCAGAAGAATTTA